TAGGCCTCACAGTTACTGTTATGTCGGCGGTGGACATGATGTCTTAAAGAGGTGAGTGGGCTAAATGTGTAATTATATAAGAGTTTAACTAGCAAAAATAGTCCCTTTTGCACTCTACGGAACCATAAAGGATCAAGGCCCGTAAGCCGGCAATGTTCTTGGTAAGACAAATGTCGATGTTCTGGGGTTAAAACTCTTGGTAAAAGTGTTAAACACATTTTATTTTCTTCCTCTCAGTAACACGCATGAGACTAAATAAAAACGAACCGTATTCCAGGTCAGGTCTAACGTACATGTTGGAAAAGCACATTCTAATATTCATAGTTTTTAAGTTTCGGAGTATAAACCCGGTCGTTCTACGTGCTTTTGAGATTATCAAGACACAGTGCTCCGAGAGATTGAGACTCTTGGATTATGATATGCCCAGATCCTTGATAACCCCAGGCACATTTATGGCGTGACCTACAATAATTAGTTGAGGTGGGTGATCGTCGCCAACCACCATGACTGAGCACTTATGCCAAGAAAGAGAAAGGCGCCATGTGCAGCTGCACTGGGCGAAAGCCTGTAGAGCGCTCTTTAGGAGCTCAGGCACGATGTCATGATCTGCCGGCTTATATCGATATGCAAATTTAAGATCATCGGCACACATGAAAGTCTTACCATTCTGAAATAAATCGGGTACATCATTAACGAAAAGGCAAAATAAAAGCGGGCCGAGTACACTTCCCTGAATGACTCCACTCCTCACACGTGTCGGGTTGTAGATAGCATTGGAAATCTTAACGCGTTGTGTACGAGTGCCCAGGTAAGAGGATATAAAATTCTAAAGTGTGTCACCTATTCCGAAAGAGGACGGTTTTAAGAGAAGTAGAGCATGGCCAACACGATCGAAAGCCTTAGTGAAATCGAAATATACTGTGTAAAGTGCAAAACCATTGTCCCTAGATTGGAGAACATAGTCAAAAAATAGAGTTGACAGGTGTCACAAGGCCGAACTTTGAGGAATCCTAGCTGAGCAACATTCCGTGTGTTATTCTCTGTTAAGTGACACCTCATCTTATCTTTGATCAATGTCTCTAAGATCTTCGAAACTGCGAGGAGGGTGTTTATTGGATGACAGTCATCAAATGACGTAAACTGATCATGCTTTGGCGTAGGCAAAATATGTGATTCCCTCCACCAAATAGAATAGGTTTCACATTCAAGAGCGAGATTAAATATTTTGCAAGGAGTGACGGGAAAACCTCATTTGTATCCGCTTTTAAGATGCCAACTGAAACATCGTCAGGTCCCAAGCTATAAGATTGACGAAAACGCCCATTCGCTACAGTCCCCTCTCAAACGGTGAAAGTTATATTATCTAGAACTGCCCCGGTCAATGCCTGGATGGTCGGAATTGGAGTGGTCGAGTCTTCAACAAACGTTTTCGACAGGAAATCATTGAAGCTATCAGCGATTAATTGGGCATCAACTATGGGATTTTCGAGAGCGTCTCGGTGGATCGGATGCTGCATGGCTCAGCTACAAGGATTTCGGCTTGTCAGTGGGTCCCCCAGCGGTCTGTGCATACAGACCTTGAATAAACTGACCTAATCCATGTCTGTAGATAATGTCTGAGGAAATTAAGAAGCGACAGTATCAAAACTGGAGTATCTACCAGAAAACAGACGGGCAAGGCTGTGCGGCGGCAGAATATCAGCGAAATTAGCGTGTACGGGCTTTCGGCTAGTACCTGTGGTATCACCCTACCCTAGAGAAATTAATGTCTTTTAGTGACCCTGTTGACCAACTGTACTAAAACGAGGACTGCTTATGTAATGTGAAAAGTACTTATTGAGGCCAACGGAATTAGATTTTATGGAATTGGGTTGCATATTATAAAACACAGACGAGTATAAGGACCTATTTCAACGGGTTCCTGACGGAGTATTCGCTAATCCAATTCAGTTGCTTCAGCATTTAGTTGGCCCACACAACGCCTTAGCTTTTGATGAACGAGGCGTTCCAATTGTCGGCTTGTAGTATACCAACGAGTCGCCTGATTATTATTTAACCTAGAAAATGCAACAATAACTACTTATTTTAAAAATAACTGAGCGAGAATTAACCCTACCAACACCAGCCCCCCAGTGCCACCTCAGAGCCATGAGGGGCAATGAGGGGTCTGTGAGGAGGCTGTGAAGGGGCTGGAGGAGAGGTACAAAGGGGCTATGGTGGGACATATCCGCGGTTTTGCTCCCTCGTGTCCACTCACCGAAAAGAATACGCAGGGGACGACAGATTTTTGTTGTTTTTGCCCCCTTGCCAATACCGATTTTCCCCGTAATTCTTGGCATATCAGACCTTCGCGTGTTACTGCGAAGTCGCAAACGAACCAAATTGTCAGGACACGTGAACGCCAGTTAATGGTTGTGAAAATTTTGTAAATGAAAAAGATAAAAGTAGTATGTACAATAAGTCATGCTTCGCCACGTTACATATTGAGCGTTTAAACGCTCGTAACGCACTATGTTTGATTTATTTGGATGTAATACTCCAGATAAAATGGGGACAAACAGTTCACAACACACACACTGACGTAGAACGTGTGACACGATGATGAGAGTTTATTTACTATTGATAATGAAACACACGAAGCGCAGATGGGCGAAATTGGGATACTGCCAGACTCTTGTCGGAGTTATAGTCAATTGGGCAGACCTAAAGCATAAAAACAAGAAAAACGGTTACCAGGAAGGTATGGCAATGTACACTTGAAGTGTGGCGTGCGTGACAAAGCCTCTCCCTCTGAAAAGCCACTGTCCTCAGTGGCTGGAGGAAGATACTTCGACGGTTTCACCAACGGGGATATTGTCACTAGGGATTATGAGAGGTGGGTCAGGGAGTTCGAGGGGATGACCCGCCTTTAACCTGTTGAAGTGGACTATGAGGGTGTTCGGGTTGTCGGCCTCACGTATTCGATAAACGTTGTTGGGTAAGCACTGGACGGCGGAGAAGGGGCCGGACCACGGATTGTGGAATTTGCTAGGTTGTCCCGGTGGAGGATTATCCCTGTGAAGCCACACCGCATCGCATGGTTGGAACAGTGAACCGTGTCTTTGTCGGTCGTACAAGCGGGCTTGTGATAGTTAAGCTTCCTGCAGCTGTGTGCGGGCCAGCCGTTGACATTCTCGGTGGATCTCTGTCAGTCTCGTAATGTAGGATGGGGGCGTGGGGAACTCGGGTCATGGGGTAGGTAGATAGGAGTCCAAAGGGAGTTGAAGTTCGCGGACATAAGTCAACATAGCGGGAGTGAAGCCCGTTGACTTGTGTATGGTACTGCGGTAGGATAGGAGACAATGGGGAATGAGGCTGTCCCAGATGTCGTTGTTGGCCGAATCTATTAACGCTCGTGATAGAGACAAAATAGATTTGTTGGTTCTCTCTGTCTGTCCGTGCCTTGTGGGTGATAAGCTGTGGTCCTCATTTTCTGTATGCCGAGTCAACTACACAGTTCATGTGCTAAGAGGCTTTCAAAGTTGGCACCTTGGTCGGAGTGAATAACATCCGGTACCCCGAAACGGGCAACCCAAGTACTCATGATCGCATCTGCGACTGTTGCCGTTGTCTGGTCGGGTAGGGGAGCTGCTTCCGCTCATTTGGTGAAAAAGTCAACCATCACTAAAAGGTATCGATTACCCTTCCGTGATTGTGGGAAGGGGCCCATGATGTCGACTACAAGGCGCTGATTCGGGTAGCCGGTGGAAATCGGTTGCAACGGTGCTCTGGGATTGTGAGTGGGATGTTTAAATCGCGCGCATACTCCGCACTCTTGGCATATGAGTGCCACATCTCGACGAAGATTAGGTGACCAGAAGCGAAGCCTCGCCGCTTTTTCTAGTTTGCCTTGTCCCGAGTGGCCCAGTTGGAGGTGTAGCTCCCTTAAGACACTGCATGTATGAGCCGGAGGGAGGAAGAGGCGGGTCGGGGATTGGGGGTTATACTTGAAGAAAAGTACTCGATCCCTCATAAGAAGGTTTTGCCAGGAGGCCCACAGGGTTTGCGCTTCACGGTTTTCTCCGGACATCTGATTTTTGGACGGTTTGGTGGAACCTCGCACAAATCGGTCGTAGATGAAACCGACATCTGGATCGTTGGCTTGTAGGTTAGCCCAGTTCACCGCCGAAGTGGTCACCGACAGAGCATTAACGTCAAGATCTTGGCAAGAGGAGCAGCTGTGGGGCTCACGCATGGGAATTCGCGATAGTGCGTCCGCGTTAAGGTGCTGCTTCCCAGGGCGATGCACAACGGTGAAGTCAAAATCCGCCAACATTTCCCGCCACCTTGCTACTTGTCCTTCCGGTTCGTGGAAATTCTGTAGCCACTCCAGAGCTGAGTGGTCCGTCCTGATGAAGGGTTTATTTACTATTGATAATGAAACACACAAAGCGCAGATGGGCGAAATTGGGATACTGCCAGACTCTTGTCGGAGTTATAGTCAATTGGGCAGACCTAAAGCATAAAAACAAGAAAAACGGTTACCAGGAAGGTATGACAATGTGCACTTGAAGTGTGGCGTGTGTGACATGGAGACCAATATCTGGGTAGTTCCGGACAAGGCCAACTGCAGGAACTTGTTCCACTTTTAAAATTTTTTTGAAAAGTTAATAATGACTTATGCTGAGAACCGGACTCCGTTTTTTCCCTGACAATGTTGGTAATATTTTTAATGTATAGAGCCTTTGACATTTGTAGTTATTTTCAGTGCTGTTTGAATTATTTATCGCATCCGTAGATTTTTTCTTAAATGGGCATTACAGTTCTTGAACAAAATTTGTTCATTAAAATCTGTGCTGCGATCTCCAGCTACACTTTAGGCAACGCCTTTTTACTCCAGTTCGTCCCATTCTTATTTGTTCGTGTAGGTGTGGTGTATTTACAATAATTAGTTTAGTGGCTCGTTTCTCGATGGAATGTAACGTTTCCCGTTTGGTATTACAAGTTGAATTTTGCATTGTATGGAATCAGCTCCTATTCATATATGTAAGAAAGTAGCTTAGATTGTTAGAGACCCAGGGATTGCAGTTTTAATAGTATTTATTCTCACGCAAGCACACCCCCAGCAACTGTTCTGGAGTTGCATCCGCTGCCTTCGCCATTCGCCGGCCCCGGTGTTGCCGACAGATGTTGATATTTGATGATTTCCACTTGCCGCTAGCAAAGATTCTATGTCTGTCCGTTTATGTGGATGAATCAACGCTTTTATATTCCCGACGGCAGGTGATTGAGTTTTAGGACGTCTTGAGGTGTTCAGTTGAACACCTCAAATCACACATCACTCTAATGTGATGAGAGTTGTGGCCCGAATTTATTTGTTTGCATAAGTTGGGACCGTCTGTATGAAAAATATCTGCACAGGTAGAAATGCGAGTTTTCACTGAAGGGTGCTTGACACCGTCTTAGGCGGTATCCCTCAGCATACCACACTAGGCGCATTCAGTTGTAAAAGTCAAAGTACCAAGCCGTCACATATTTCACCCTTAATGAGGTGGTGTCTAGGATGTCTTGCAAATGCTGAACGGCGTTGTTTTCTGTGTGTGAAGCGCGCACAGTTCACAGCCGTAATCGCCTCTGGGTCGCTCTAAATAGCGACGGACACCCGCCTCCTTGTCGCTTTTTGAGTGCTTTCCTAAAGTCTACTATCTATGGAATAGTCTTCTTTAAATAAACCACAATTTGAGCCTTGAATGAGTCTTTACTATAGCATGAATACGTGCTTATCAGTGCTGTCGTTGCTATTTCCACCGGCGTAGTTAACAGCAGAGGTGAGCCCCGAATAGTAGTAGTATGGAAAAAATGTGAGTAATTACACCCATCATACCTTTCCCACACGTCATTCGAAGGTGGTCTATCCGAGTATTTAATGATTTTCCGAGGTATGTTGGTAGTTGTTGTCAGGTCGTATTATGAATGAATGAATATGTATGAATGCCACATTGAATGCTTTAGATGACCTCTTGGGATGCCTACAGCTAGCCGTACCAGCTCAAGGCAGTACATACCTACTTAAAATTCCCTCCATAACATCTTCTACACGGATATATGATTTGCGCAGACGATGGTTGTTAACAATTATTTTGTCCGTGTTGTAATCAATAGATGGATTTTACTTCTGAAGGCTGACAATTTGCTATCCAAGTGAAGTGACGAATGCGCGATATCGGGAAATGTTTAATTCTGAGGACCTCGTGGTTGGTCATGATTGGGTCATGAGGTTAAGGCCTAGCTACAATCACTTACCTCAGTAATAGAATCAGCAGTGACAACGTTTGGAACAATATTCAGGAATCCTAAGCACACCCATGGAGAAAACGGCGGTTTAAAAGTTCCTGATTACTTTACGTCGTCTTTTGTAGCCTGTGAATTGTGGGCGGCCATTTTCCAAAGTTTTATGCGTTTCGCATTCTGGTAGACCGCAGGATGTGCACCAGTTGTCATGGAAAAGATGGAACGTGGATCAAAAACAGCGACGTAATATTTATCTTGCCGTTGTTACTTATTTCTCTTTTCCTCTGCCCGCAATGATTAACCTAATCTGTTACGACTGCAACCAGTTGGTCACGGCAAGGTTTTCCTTGTAACGGACAGAATCCCGACTATATTTAGCGATTTTACTCCTTCATAAAATATCTTGGTTTTTTTTAGCTGAACCGCAGGCCAAGTTGTATATAAAACGGACAACTCCAGACAACTGGGTTAGTCCGGATTTCCTCAGAAGGCTACAGAAGAATGGTGGGGATTTAACAAGTTTTGTGACTGCTTCCTTATAGTGCGTGTCACCCTGTTTGGTTTAAAAACGGTCATATTGCTGTCTGGCCTCATATTCCAACAGCTTTGTTGGTAGGTCGGACCACCGCTTATAACCCGTTAAGCATTTGCGTCTTCACATCATGTTTTATATACCTGCTTTGGAATTGGGTCACCGCCGGACAACTTGCTTGCTTTCTGATAGGAGCCACTTTGTTTGGATTCGTCCTGTGGTGGCACTCATTGTCTCCTCCGAATAAAACTCTCAGAACTCGTAAGTTTTTCTCCCATACTTTTTGAACACAGTCCAAATTTTCGACGGGGCTTTGGTTCATTTTCGTTCGTCTCTTTCCAGTTGCAACACCACTGCACACTGGACTGGTTATTCTAACCTTCAGCACTGCCCTGGCTCCCGTCCTGCACTCTTTATTGGATACTGTCTCGACAGACACTATCTACGCGATGACCTTTTTGTTCCTTCTACTCAACTGGACCCTTTCGCCATACGGCAACGGTGTGTGCCGTCGGGACCCAGCTAATCGGGATTCGAATGTTATCTCGTTGGCTGCTGGCTTACTAGCCTCCTTGTGCTTAGCGAGTCGTCTTTCCGGCCCATGGGAGACCCTTATTCTTATCCTCTTTGCTACCCTGATGTTCGCCACTTGGCCGTCCATCGCTCATTCTTTCCAGGTTACTGAAGCTAACCGTGTAATCCTTATTATCGTTGCAGTAAGCCATACAGGACCCGGTTATTCGCAATAAGCTGCAGTGTCTACGTTGTTATGACCCATGTTAAGGTGTTAATCGCTAGATTGACCAAACATGTCTGTCTTTGAAAATGTCTCTAGTAAACTTGTTGGCCACTGTCTGACAGCAGCTAAGACCATCTCTTCAAAGCTCACCCCAGTAGAAAGCGCTTCTAGTTATTGAGTTCTATGTCTGAGGTGATACCAGATGTGTTAAGTAAGGGACGGCATGACTGATCCGTTGAAACAAAGAAGTTTATGGATGCTGGTGTTTGCCTCGGGTGTACTTACAGTGTCCGACAAACAGACCAATTACTGTTTGCAGTGAGCCCACGGACATATCCCGGTTCAGAAACAAGTTTTTTCTTCAACCAACATCCGCTTCTACTCGTAAACGTCACCATCTTGACAATATTTAGTTTAGTTATCCCCCATCATTCTCGCCCACTGTCAAAGTAAAGTTAGACTGTACAGTTTACGAAACAGACGGAATTAGACTATTGATGACAGTGGCAGGTTTCAAAGACTTCACGAAATTTCGTCTCAGGATGCAGGCCTGTGCATTTCACGTTACTCCGGGAACTAGAGTTTCAAGCACTACCAGTCAGTCTGGCAGATTTACCAGAGCTCCCTGCTTTGTCACAACGCCTTCTGTGAGGGAGAATCGTATGCTGCCAAAGTGGGCTTCAGTTGCAGCTAGTTTTTTCCTGGTGAAGACACCCCTGAGGCAACTGTAAGAGCAAGTAAATGTAAACGTTGGATGATGGCTGAAGATTATTTTTTAACAGTTGTGCTATTCTTGAAACGGTTCACATCGTATTACTTTCTGGACACATCCCCGGAAAACATGCAGTCTGTACCGTTGTGCCGACTGATTAGGAGCCGTCACGACTGGTACAACTTTGCCTTGGAGCTTGATTTCCGCCTTTCAGGCTGCGTTTTCTTCGAGTTGGCAAAAATATGTTACGGCCAGATATGAACACTCAACGCTATAGCATCAAACTACAAGAACTGATTTTATTTCGCATGTGTATGATGTCCGCTGGTTTATGTGGCGTAATTTGCCCTGATATAGGGACTGATTGAAGTATGGAGACTTTTGATTTAATCTACTAGAACGCCGAAGATATGAATAAGACTTTAAGCATTCAAACGGCCTGTTAGACACTCAGACGTTCCTTTCCTTTAGAGTCCTTTTCTTCATTCTTGCCCTATAATTGGGGATTATCTTGACTTTTCTAATTTACAGAGCGTTTCACCTACCATACGAACAGAAACCCATGAGACATTACTAAACCCTCCATTTGGCTTTCAACCTAACTACTGAGGTGATGTATCAGTGGTAAAAGAAAATAAGAAGCAGATCTGGCGATGGTAGTATGGCATGGGAACAATGGACATTCGTCGGCTAAGTTAGATTGTAAGTGCTACTTTTAAGTTAGGTTCTATGGAACGGAAATGCAATAAGAAACAACCTCGAACAATCCGGGGCTGTTGTTTGGAGACCGTCTTCATTCAAGCTTCCAAAGAAGTCTTGTGGCAACAAACGTGCGGACACTACATGATGACTAGTGCTATGGCGTTTGCGGGTACTGTTACATTCCACAACCCTGGTCTGATGTTGTGATCGGGGTCCGTGCGTTAGTCTACTCGATCGGGAAGGGATATTTGCACTGAATGCTTGAGTGTGAGGACGGTCCTCAAACCTTAAAAGCGAGATCTGATAATACCCAGTTCTTACTAAGGCAACACGTATGTCTACTGTCTGTCTGAAGCGTGAATCCTACGCTCAGTCTCCCGCGAAATTAATGTCGCACGAATGAACCTACACTATCACGCTTACCTCTGCGACTCATTCAGTAGACACGGTAAGGCAGTCGCACCATCGGGAAACAGGTGGACAAGACACTACTTTCATGGGAACCGGACGTACGGTTGAAGACACCTTAATAATATCTCCGCTCTCCTGCCTACGTACAGACGTCAGCTGCTGGCAAAGTAAACTAGAGAAAATGAGAAGAACAGTTTGCTACAGTAATAACTTCGACGAAGCAGACCTTGAGCATTGGCGTCACACGGATGCACCACTTATTTGTCAAGTCTGCAGTAGATCCACAGCATTGGACCACGCCGTTCACGACGTGAACGCACTTAGCCGCACCACTCCTAACATGTCAATATTCGGTCTGACGTTTGACAAGTTCGCATTCTGTTGGCTGGATTCTCTTGTAGATCACATACGGGTTTGATGATGCCCAGTCGGTACTATGAAGCCGGTCGCCTATATTTCGCTGAAAATATTGTTCAGCCAATGTCAAGTGCTGACGATCTGTAGGATTTATTGTCTCGGATGAACGAGGCTGTAAAAACAGCCAGTTTATCCGCCAATGCCGTGAATAGCAGACTATTTGCAAGTTTAAATTCTGGCCAGAAGAGTACTAGTGATTAATGGCTGTCAGTCCCGCTATGTGGACAATTTCGACGATCCCTGGGCCACGTCTCCAACTAGGCAGATTAAGGACGACATGTGAGAGACTTAAAAACGTCACCCCAATCCATGCTGCTGGGTTTTTGATAACCTTCAAAAGTGCCTTTGAAGCTGTTGCCATATCTCAGTTACCTCAAATACCCGCATGTGCTTAGCACCCAGTTAGTCATCTACGGGAGATGCTTTGTCTGTATGACGCGCGAAGACTGTAGGTTGTTGAACATGTTTATCGGACAATAATCCTTCCAGTGATGTATGCCGACATCGTCTGGAAGTGGATAGTTTTCACCCCTGTGACAACTACGAAGTTATCAAAGACCACCCAGGAATGACGGCCGAGGTGGTTTATCCATGTTCTTCGTTTCGTTTTCGTTCAGTACTACTACTACTGCTACTACTACTACTACTACTACTACTACTACTACTACTACTTACTACTTACTACCACTACTACTACTACTACTACTACTACTACTACTACTACCACTACCGCTACTACCACCACTACCACTACTACCACCACCGCCACCATTATCAGAAATAGGACGTTACTTAACTCGAGACGGTAAAGAAGTCACCAGCTCAAGGGCTGGTCCCATGCAGTCAATCAAGACTTGGAGCTGGATATTTGACATCTGGTCGTCGTTGGAGAAAGTAGCGGATCGATCTTCCTAGATCGGTTCCTGCTGATCATCATGGCTGAAGGGCTTCTATCCACAACACTGCCGAGGCTTAATAGGTAAGGCATTCGCGTGGCGGTTACAAGTGTACATAGGTAGACTGCTAATATTGAGTAATACTATATAAGGCGGCCGTCTTGTCTGTTCACGCACTTGACCCCGGTGGCAAGACAGCCAGGACGACTGGAGGTGGGCTCAGACACAGTGATTGGCAAAACTAAATAGCCGTTTGTCAATGCTACGTACGAACTGGTACCCCCCCACAAGTATCCGGCCACAATAAAGGCGGCTCGGATCTCACATGGAGGAGAATGCCATAATGACCACATTAAGTAGCCATTTCAGCATGACTCGGTCTCGGAGAGAACCCAGTTACTCCGTCATTTAACAACCTTCCAAGCCATAACAGACTCAAATACATCTAATTCATGATAGGAAGCAATGCGATGATGTAGAGTGGAGATGGGTTACTCAGTGTTAACCTCAATCCTCGTTCCCTTTCTCATGCACTATTTGACTTTGCGGACCTGTCAGCCATCTTTTGTGGGGACTGGGCGCACTGGTTGTCACAGTATGAAGTCTACATCTAAGTGTGTCACAAGGGTCCCCTGGGATGCTCGGACTCATCACAGCCTGATTGGTGCATGTCGTGAGATAACCTGACTTCCGTTCTGGACCAGCGCATCTACAGCCCGGTCAATTGTGTTGGTCAGGAGCTGGGACCAGACCATGTACGGCATGCAGAGATGGGTTGATTTCTGCAGATGACGAAATTTACGATACTTCTGCATTTTAGGATGGACTTTTTGTTGACAGGTATTGCAATACTGGTAAACATGTACTTCACACTGATGCAGACTTTTGAATGAGGACCTTTTCAACTGCCTGCTACATTCATACTGGCTAGAATAAGTGCGTAAGTAGTACGTCTTTTTCCATCGGTTTTCAGCGCCATTGTAAATTCAATCATATCGACCGTGTGCACAGGAGATCCTTCCTTTTACTCCTATACGATTACTTCTTTTCCGAATTTTGTACCCGAAGAAGGGGTATCTTTGTGTTACGAAGCTTACCAAACCCCGTTGTTTCAAACCCAACCTACCTTTGGATCTGTCTTTAAGACTTCGTATCTACCGTTTTAATAAACCATTATATTTCTTTATAATTGAGAAGGGGAAATTTCCTGCTCGTATAGTTCAATAAATATTGGTCACTTTGCAAACTTCAAAAACACATTAATGAACGGGGGTATACTTCATTGCCTGAAAAATCACTCTAGCTCCTAAGATTTCAACAGTCACAATTTTGTAAAATCGACGAGTACACTTTCTTCAAATATAAAATTAAAATGGGTCGTAAGCTTTCACTAAATGAGCTCAAGAATGCATTTTTGGCGCACCCTTCTAGTAGAATATGCTTGCAGTTTTACAGGTATCCAGAGTGAAAAATAGAGTCACTTTTTAGCTAGTATTATTTTTGGGGGTGGTGGAAAGGTTCTTACTTCAAAGTCAACATCCTGGCGTAAATGAAACATCTTAGAATTATCTTTCATGCTAGTCAGTATTAAAACCTCACTTAGGTAACCCGTCCAAAGTGAAGCGATGTTTTAGGATTTCAGTCAATGTTTCACGAGTTTCATGTACCGCAGCTTTGCCAGCCATTGCACCTACGTTCATCTCTAGTAGTCCTGACTTCTCGTTGCCATGGAGACATCGTTGGCTGTGGAGGGGGTGAGAGATACACGCTGCTGAGGTCATTTCTTGAGCTTTGAAAATAATCAAACGACGGACGTAAATTTCCAAACCTCCTCAACGAATTGATGGAAAAGGAAAAAAGTAGGCTGTTTTCTTTCGCCTGTAGCATCTGTTCGCGCGCGCTACTTTGTGCACTCTTATTCTTCTTGCGCCCTATTTTCTAGGCAGACGCGATTGCTGCTGTGAGACTGAGTTTCACAATTGGCCTAGGCCTTCTCGCCCTCCTCAGCCTGCTGCCGTTTTTTCTGAGTGTGGAGATTGAGGCCCTTTATAAGCGCCTTCTATTCACCGCCTGCGTCTTTTGTAGTCTCTTCTTTAATTTTGGAATTCCCTGGTTCTTCTATCGACTGCAGTCGTCCAAGTAGTAAGTCCTCCAAGTGACCGCTTTCCTCTTCTACTGCAGTTACTCATCTGTCACAAACAATGAACTGCTTGACCCTGTAGGACATCTCAGCTGTTTTAAAAAGGCTGATCCGGACACTATAGTATTCGATAGGTTGCAGTTCAGTCTGTGTCCGGTTTTCAGGTGGTCTTGGAGCCCAATGTACCTTTGGCTGGAGGCAAATAAAAAAGCAGTATTCCCATGTTACAATTGAAAAGTCAAATTGGCGAACACGTGTTTTCGGTAACTCTTCATCAGGCCAAAATGGTAACATAGAAGTTAAATTTATGCGAATTACATGGCTTATAAGTGATTTGTCCCCCTTGACCCAATGATCACGACACGCCGACCACGCCATAGCACGCCTTGTCGTGCGAGTGGCGTGGGAACGATGGATGTTAATTGTCCCTGAATCACTTATTAGCCATGTAATTCGCATAACTTAAACTTCTGTGTAACCGTTTTGGCCGGATGAAGAGTTACCGAAAACACGTGTTCGCCATTTTGACTTTTCAAAAAAGCAGTAATTTACCTTTCAGTTTCACCTTGTCATTGTTAGTACATCTCATGGTTTCACATCATTACTTGCTGCGCGGCGGCCTGCAGGGACCATACCTTGGGAACTCCAAATGCGGTCCTACAGTCAGGCCAGGTCAGTGCTGAATGCTGTCCCAATGCGGTCATGCAAAAGATAAGGTAGTAAGGATACTCAAGTCAATTACCTTATCTGGGATTTGATGGTACGTCTTGAAGCCGTGCCCTTTTTCAGCAGCCTGTCTTGCAGAAATATAGCCTCAAGTGCGCAGTGCCATCGCGAACCTTATCCCCAGGCTTACTTTTCCAATCCTGGCAAGATTTAGCTTTCAACGTCCGTCCGTCGTGGACTTATACTTTATGAATTCAAAATCGCTATCAACATTTCACGGACTGCTCATTAAGAAGGTAACGTTGTCGTTACAAATGGTGGTCTTATGCCTGTATTTAACCTCGGAAAAAATTATGCAACCGTACCGGACATTGAATATTGTCTATTTTCACTTCACGAGTTCTGTGCTTTTGGGCAAGATATCTCGGGATGAGAAAATTTTAATCCGAAACTTTTGTAAGCAGTAAGTAAGCTTACAGTAGGTGGCGTAGCTCATGAAACGTTAACCGGAATTTTGAAAATGTTATTTTGGTTAGTAAGGATTATCTAGACGAAGTTGTAATAATCAGTATCATGCAAATATTTCCTTCACGCTTGGGTGCCGCCTGAAAAAACCACACTGGTTAAAGGTGACTATCGAAGTAGCGTGAATTTTTCTATCGATCCTCGACGCCCCTACACATGTAGATACATCTTATAGAAAGCATTAGCAAAATTTCCTTCCTTGCACTCATTTTTTAGCGAATCCGGCTTCCAGATTTTATACCCGAAGTAGGGCTATCTTTTAGTTTTTAAAAATTTGTCTCAATCCCCGAGTAAATTTGAATTTGGCCTACCTATTCTCATGCGTTTGGGTTTTCTAATTTTAAAACTTGACGCTTCCTATTCAAGGTAAGCTATGCTATTGAGAAGGTGCCATACTTAGCTTATCAAACTGAGCAATGGATATGGACCACATTGTTTACTTCATAAGGAGCATTAATAAACCGACGTATAAAATACCGTTTTAGCAGACATTTCACGGTCTTAAGAGATCCCGTAATTGCAAACATTTTAAAACCGAAACCTAATCTTTCTCCGAGTGTACAATTTGATAAAGAGGCAATTTGCTGCAAAACGGGCCCAGGAAAGATTTTTTTGCGCATGCTTTCTATAAAATATGCTTTGCATTATAAGGCCATCAAGCTGGATTCGTGCAAGCGGTTGGAATGTCATGCACTAAAAAGCAGGCGTTGTAGTGCGAAGTAAATATATTTAGATTACGCTACATGTTGACAGTTTGGCCGTCTTTACCGCCGATACCCACCGTGTGCCCTTCACCAGGGTGGTCACGTGAAGGGTAGCTTGCGCGTAAATTAGTTTATAGCGATGGTAGACTTGTGATGCATCTACTGCACTCTCTTCTTTCTCATTCACCTGGACCCTGTGCCAAGGCATAGTCAAGATGACTGGAGGCGGAATCGGACGATATGGCCGACAAAGCTAAACAGTCCGTTTACGCGTACCTCACACGTTTTATCCGCGCACGATGGGCCGGGTTTTCACTAAAATAACAAAGGGGCTGCTCGGATCCCAACTGGGTGAGAGTGACATAGAGGTCACATTAAAAAGGAGTCGTTTTAGCCTGACTCTCCGTTTTG